TGCCTAATTGTGCCCTCCCAGTGTAATTGCAGCTGAGCAAAATGCACTTGAAGCCAGTGCATTCGCTGATGAGAGGGACCAGCAAGGGAAGAGCATCAGGAGCCATGCCTAGACCTAGTCTGTAAGCACCAGAAATATAAAACACACAGGGGAATCACAGTGTTTTTCACTCCAACCCTGCAGTAAAACTCAGGGAGATTAACCCTGCAGAGTGTCCCCTGGTATGAGCGGGATCTGAGGACCCAAAGCAAACTCCTCAGCAGCCAGAGCAGCCAACACTGCTCTTCCTGCTAATTAATGTCTTCCTTCCACCTGCACGGCTGACACAGCTCCCGCCTCTGCCGCACAGAGGCTCCGGCGCCGGGACGAGGGGTGCCCCCGCCCCCGCCTCTGCCGCACAGAGGCTCGGCAGCAGGACGAAGGACCAAGGGTGCAGAAGGAAGCACCTCCCACGTCTGCAATGCCGGGGTCGGAGGGCAATGGCTCTTGGAGGGCAGCAGCAGTCACCGCCACTTCCAAAACCACTAGAGAGAATGAAAAGCCGAGGACCAGGAATCTGGGCGTTGCATTTTTCAGGAGTGCTGAATAAACATGGGAATGTGTATTTAAAGAAATTACCCAGCTTAAATAAACAACTGGGTAATTGGATTTTCATAATCACCAGCTATGGCTTAATTTTAGGGTCAGGGAAAACCTGGAAATGACCTCACTAATGATTAATAGGCTTTGGTAACCTGGTGGCCCTCTGAGGTGGACAGGTGGAGCTTCCTTTTGAGAGTTTTCAAATAAACATTGCATTAATCTTTTTTTTTTTAATCACAGTCTGTAATAAAATCTGCTTCTATAAATGCTTTATTAAAAATACTCCAGTGAATTCTCATCAGTGGACTTGTTCCTATTACCCAATTGAAAAGAGGGCTGTGAGGATGTCATAAGACCCCCCTGTGGGATACTAGACAATACACAGACACAAGTGGTTTCCTGATTGCACTTATTCACGTACCCAGTGATGAGGTGGCTGTCCAAGCTGGTGAAACTTCGGAAGAGTTAGTCTCATGCTGATTTTAATGTATTGTTGTCACGAATGTTTACAATTCCTCAGATTCCTCACATGATGTTCCTCCCCATCAAGACAGAACCTCAAGGGGATGCTGGAGGAGGTGTATCGTATCAAAATCTACTCTAATTTGGTCCACACTATTAAGATGGGGTACATAAAGAATATAAAGTTTAGAAGGTAAAAAAGGGTTGTAAATATTCAGAAATAAGGGAAATCCCATGGGTATGACTCCTTCACTCTAATTTGAAATGGAAAGATACCTGTATGTAGTCAGAAGATTTTATATATATATATATAGGTGTGTATATATATATCTCTCTCTCTCCAAGAAAAATGAGTTGTCTGACCTGAAGTGTCACTAGTCTGATTGTGATTTCTTTATTCAAAATCTATTGGAGACAAGGGATAGTTACCAAAAATGGGTTTTGTTTTAGGTGGTACTTCATTGTTGTTTTGTGTCCAGCCTTGTGCAGTCCCTCCAATAAGATGGGAAAAGGTGGATTAATGTCTTTCCACCCAGGTAGTAAAAGAGAAGAGAATTCTTGCTTTTTACTGTTTTCAACAGAAAGAGAAGAATTTAGCTGCTGGAGGAACATAAAGAATCCAAGGAGTGCAAAGCAGGACCTGAAACTATAAGCATCTTCTGAGGACATACAAGTGCATGATGGGTTCAGGCCCTCCCTCATCTTTCAAGACAGTCTTGAATGCAATAAAGAAGTCTGCATTATTAATGTTACTATTGACAATAGTTAGTATTGCTAATGTAAAAATCATTAAATTTTTTTTATTAACTGAAGCATACTTTATCAAAAGTATTTTCGAGATGCCTGTTTTTATGGAAGAATTACCTTTAGGGCTATTATCTACTGTATATCCTTTTTTTAAAAAGACTTTCTAAGCTTTCTGAAAAGACAACTATCTTTTAGGTAATTATTTTTTTACCCTATATTCAGTTCGTATTCAATTTCAATGTGTTAAATATGCAGCTAAAAACCGTTTCTTCTTTTCAGAGAAAGTTATTTGATTCTTAACACCGGTATTCGTCAATAATCCCCATAAATGGTAAAAGCAGTAAACTCAAAGTTATAATTAGATCAGGTATACTTTTTGTTGTTGTTAAAAAGGAAATAGCCTTTTTGCCAAGACTGTCAGTTATAACAATGTAAAAGCCAAAGAAAATATTAACATTTTCACTGTACTTTGTTACTGAACAATGCAAATGCTTTTCCTCTATATTAGGAAATCTCAGTAGGCTCTCCCAGAAGTATGTCTGGGTCTAGGTTGCTACTCATTTCTCAACCAAAGGTAGCCTAAACAGTTTTGCAGAGGTTCATTGCACACTTCTGTGGATTTCTGGATTATTTTCAAAAGATTGGATTTGTGATATACGTCCTCAGTGCCACCTGTTTGAGGGACTGCCTTTTTCCGTGGAATAAATTGCTAGCTGTGGTCAGAACAGGTGCTTTTGCAGGAGAGTTTTTGAGAGAAAGCAGTCTAACAGGATGTTTTCCTTGAGAAACAGCATGGAGGTGGGGGACTGGCTTCCTCTGCAGGCAGAGGCAGTCCCCAGGGAACTGGTATGGGTACATGAGCCAGGATCTTCCCACATTGTCCAGCAGAGAGCGGCCACTACAGGTGGTTCACAGAGAGCCCACCTCCCATACTATCACAGCTCTGGATGTGGGGGTACAAGCACTGGTACTGCCAACACATCAGTACCATGCAGGTTGTGTAGTTAGCCACAGAGCACCACTTGTAGCCTACATGTATCAGTTACTAGTCATTTTTGCTCAGGATGCTGCTTCACTTCTACCTACCTCCTAGCAAAATTAGCAGAATCACACCCCACCTACTACCCTCTGCTGACAGAAATTGTCCTCATCTACCCCGGAGGCAGCCAGCTGCCTGCAGCCACCTCCACTCTGTTTTACCTCTCCCACCTCTGACTCACTGTTACCACCTGTGGGCCTGGGAAACAAAGCTCTTGCTGTCACCCACCCATCACCTAAGCTGAAACAGGCTTACAGACACTATGACACAATCTGAGATTCACCCATTCCATCAGGCGGTCTTGTCTCTTGGCCATTGTTGCTTTTTGTGTTTTGCCAAGTGACAGGTGAGTGGCTGAAGTCATTTCTATTCATGCAGACTGACATGACAGAAACATTCTAATTTAAAGTAAAATTCTAGAAGGATCTGCTGCTCTGACGTATATGAGGAAGGGAAGTGCATCAAAGTTGTGTCAGAAAATAAAAGTGTTAGGTTCATACGGTTACAAACAAAGAAGGAGTCACAGTGTCTGAAAAGACAAGTAATTTGCTCAATTATATACAAATACCCACCTGTAAGTAATGAAAGGGCAGTAATAAGCAAGTATTAACACAAGCAACTTCAGCTGCAAACTAGAGGAAAGCATTGCCTCAATATTAATAGCACTTGCCTCACAGATACTATCTGATGATGTCTGTGATATTTATAATAATATGTGGTATTACTGTAAAAGGGACAGTTGTATCTTAACAACATCCCAGTGTCCAGAGCAGAGTGCATTCACACTCACCCAGTGGGTGTTCTCCTGCCAGCAAGAAATGCACCCAACCACACAGAGTTTTAGCAGGAAAACTGGAGTCACTGGATAATGGTTTAACCAGTAAATGGTTCATCACTTGCATACGTGATTTTAAAAATGGGCAAGGTGTAGAGTTATATTCTGGTCTGGCAGGATGACTATTAGGAGAGGCGTGAGACAGAGATCTTGGGTTGTGTTTGTATATATCTGAGCGTGGTAGAGCCACTAAGAGCTTAAAGAACTCCCTGTAAGCATACATTAACACAGAGACAATAATGTGCAGAGGTAGGAATGAAACTATACATGCATAGCTGCTTGGTAAATGTTAGAGATGTTTACACAGAGCTGGGCATCTGTAGCCCAGTTCAGACAGCTGAATCTTACAGTCTTACAGTATTGATTTCTGATTAGTAAACACAAAAACTTTGATTAATGCCTAGATATGTGTGTTTAGTCATCACAATTCACAGAGCATGGAGTTATTGCAATCAATATGCCTAAAGTTAAGGGTTGAGTAGATAACATTTGATCAATAGGTTGAAACTGTGAAAAAAGACAGTTTTCTTCAGTGTTGTTTGGGGAAAGCAACAACAGGAGTAGTGCTTGTACCAAGCACACAGAAGTGTGCTTTATTTGTATTTTCACAGCTCAAAGGTTTGTTGAGTCTAACTTTATTTTCCTGTAAAATGTGAAATGTTGATGAATTTGATTGTTCTGCAAGAGATGTTTGGCATTTCTAAATAACCCCTCTATGTCTGTGACCATTCCTCCTCCTGGAAGCAGCTCAATTATTGTAGTTTATTATTGCGGCCCTTCTTTCCCACCTAATATGAAACATTTTTCACTCTCTTGGTAGTCACGTTGTTTGCACTATCTTTCCACTTATTTCTGATGATTTTATCACTTTACCCCCCTTCATTCTATATATTTAATTTGAGTATATTCTTAAACATATAGCTGACATGACTTTATTTTCAGGTTGTTAAATGTATCAGTTAGAAATACATCCCCTTTTCCTGTGAAACATTTCTTCCTTACTAAGATACCACTTTCATATTCGACATCCGTAACAATTAAGTAGAATATAGGGAGCAGTTTCTACTTCTAAGAATAATCCAAATAGTTGCTCCCTAGCACAGTGTTCTTGCAGCATCAGTTGTTAGATTCAAGAGGTAGGATGATGTGTAAAATCTTAGCTTTCTGGCCAGCCAGTGCTTCCAGTGAAACCAGTCTTGCAGTCTTTGCATATTCAAGTCTCCCAGTGACTATACAGAAAGTCAGGGTGCAAAATAACTCGGCTTCAGCTGCACGAGTGTAAACCTTACAGTAACACGGATCTGATATAACTGTTTTAATTCTTTTCTGACACAGACGAGGATCCAATGTCTCACTGACTTTGGATATGAGCAGTTTGGGAAGTGTGGAACCTTTTGTCGCTGTGCCAACCCCACGAGAAAAAGTAGCGATGGAGTATCTGCAGTCGGCTGGCCGCATCCTGACACGGCAGCAGCTTCGGGACGCAGTTGCATGTTCTCATTTACTTCAAACAGAATTCATGGTGAGTCTAACAACAAGCTTTAAATGAGGATTTTTAACATAATTGACATAACAGAAACTGTGGGGAAAAATAATTGGTCAACACTTTACTGTCAAGGAACATATAACTCCCAAAGGGCAGATTAGATAGTTTCAAGGTGGTGTTTTATGTTTATGCACTAAAGAAAGGTAAGTAGGTCAGTTATATCCAGGGATAATGCAGATTCCGCTTGGTTTGAAGTCCCATTCATAGATGGGATAAATGTCATATTAGTGCCACAGTACAAACAGCCAGGACTGTAACACTGTGACAATTTCAAAGAGATCATAAAGGCTATGATGACAGAAAACACAATCGTAATTGGAGGTTTTGTTTATTCTCATGTAAACATCATATATGTTTGTAATTTGAAGACTAGATTTTTAGTCACTGTAAATGACCTTTTAGAGCAGACAGGGACAGCCACAGTCAGTCAGTCCAAAATGTCTTTAAAAAGCAGTCCATACAGCAAGCCTAATATGCTCAAGATGAAAAATCCTGAGGTGTCCTACAAATGTATTTAATATTAAAAAGGGTAAGAATCTAAAATTATGACAGTGGCCAGGTAGAAACAAGTCCGAGTAGAAAAGCTGAGTTAGGGAAAAGACATTATTACATATCACTTTAAGAAGACCTGAAAAGAACTGGTATTTCAAAAAAGACAGATGCAAAAGGCTATCAGAAATATGGAGACACTCTTTACAAGGGACATAGGACAGTGTAAGCTGAAGCCAGTTGAATGTGAAAGCTGAATAAGGCAGGCCAAAAAAGGTTTTGAATTTAAAAAAAAACATAATAACTTCAATTTTAAATAGATCAAAAGCAAGAAGCTTACCAAAGAGTACAAGGATCAATAGATGATCAAAAAGGCAGAAAACAGATTTGGAGAAGCTGAAGCAATAGGAGAGAAGTGACTGCATTATTAGGGAGCTTCCTACCTCTGTGACAGGATAGATTCAAACAAGTCATTGGAGGATCTGTCTGATATTGAAGCATTAATGGAAGATATTCTAGAGCAAATCAATAAAATGAATAAAAGCTACACACTGGAATAAGCTTGTATTCACCCACAAATCCTGAAGAAGTTCATCTGTTCAATTATTGATGTATTAACTGGACAGGTGTCCACTCAGGCCCCAGCAGCTGAGGAATCAGAATCATAGAAAGGTCATCTAGTCCAACCCCCCTGCAGCATGCAGGGACTTCTTTAACTAGATCAGGTTGCTCAGAGACTCATCAAGCCTGACCTTGCATGTCTCCAGGGATGAGAGCTCCACCACCTCGCTGGGCAACCTGTTCCAGTGATCTACCACCCTCATAGTAAAGAACTTCTCCGTAATGTCTAATCTAAGTCTACTCTGCTCTAGTTTAAAACCATTGACCCTTGTCCTATCACTACACGCCCCTGTAAACAGTCCCTCACCAGTTTTCTTATAAGCCCCCTTCAGGTACTGAAAGGCCACAATAAGGTCTTCCCACAGCCGTCTCTCTTCTTCAGGCTGAACAATCCCAGCTCTCTCAACCTGTCTTCACAGGGGAGGTGCTCCACCCCTCGGATCATTTTTGTGGCCTTCCTCTGGACCCGCTCCAATGATTCCATGTCCTTCTTGTGTTGAGGGCTCCAAAGCTGGACACAGTACTCCAAGTCAGTTCTCAGCAGAGCAGAGTAGAGGAGCAGAATCACCTCTCTCAACCTGCTGCCCACACTTCCTTTTATGCAGCCCAGGATGCGGTTGGTCTTCTGCGCTGCAGATGTGCATTGGTGGCTCATGTCCAGCTTTTTGTCCATCAGTACCTCCAGGTCCTTTTACACAGGGCTGCTGTCTATCACATCATCCCCCAGCCTGTATTGATAATGAGGATTGCCCCTAACCAGGTGCAGGACCTTGTACTTGTCCTTGTTGAATGTCATGAGGTTCACAAGGGCCTACATCTCCAGCTTGTCCAGGTACCTCTGGTTGACATCCCATCCCTCTGGCATGTCAACTGTACCACTCAGCTTCATGTCATCTGCAGACTTGCTGAGGGTGCTCTCAATACTGCTGTCTATATCACTGTTGAAAATATTAAACAGTGCTGGTCCCAGTACAGACCCCTGAGGGACACCACTTGTCACCCACCTCCATCTGGACATCGAGCCATTGACCACTACCCTCTGGATATGACCATCCAACCAATTCCTTATCCACCAAATGGTCCACCCGTCAAATCAGTATATTTCCAACTTAGGATGTTGTGGGGTGACCATGTCAAAGGGCTTGCAGAAGTCCACATAGATGGCGTTCCTTGCTTTTCCCTTGTCCATTGATTTAGTCACTCCATTTTAGAAAGCCACTAGGTTGATCACCCAAAACTTGCCCTTAGTAAAGCCATGCTGGCTATCTCAAATCACCTCCGTGCCCTCCATGTGCCTCATCAGAGCTTCTAGGAGGATCTGTTCCATGATCTTGCCAGGCACAGAGGTGAGGTCAGTAGTTCCTGGGGTCCTCCTTCCTACACTTCTTAAAAATGAGTGTGATGTTTCCCTTCTTTCAGTCACCAGGGACTTCACCTGACTGCCATGACTTTTCAGATATCATGGAGAGTGGCTTGGCAACTACATCAGCCAATTCCCTCAGGACTCTGGGGTGCATCTCATCAGGTCCCATAGACCTGTATATTCAGGTTCCTCAGGTGGTCATGAACCTTGTCTTCACTTATAGTGGGAGGGACTTTGTCCCCCTGGTCCCCATCTTGTGGTCCTTCAACTTGGAAAGTGTAAGGAGAGAGGCTGCCAGTGAAGACTGAGGCAAAGAAAATCAAAAGAGGCAAAAAAGGAATCAGAGGGACAGAGGTAACAGGAGTTTTGCAGAAGGGCTCCAGAAAAGATCCAGAGAAGTGCAGACCTAGAAATCTGATGTCTAAATCAGAGAAATTGGAAGGAATTATAATAAAGAAGCAAATAGATATATGAACAAGTGCAATACAGTAGGGAACAATCAACATAGTGTAGCACTGGAAGGATTGGTTGTTTCTCAGAGTAAAAGGAGGTCACCAGTGGAGTCCCAGAGGCATCTATTTTCGAGCTGATGCTGACCAAGATGCTCTTAAGTCATCTGGAAGGGAATAAATAGTAAGGTGGCAAAGTTTGATGATGACACTGTATTACTGAGGGTAGTAAAATTAAAAAGAGACTTCAAAGAAATTACAGAAGGGTTTTAGGATGGTGTTGAGGCAGAGGAAATTCAAAGTTGATAAATGAAATGTTATGCATTTGGGAGAAAATAGTTTTGTATACTTTGATGGGTTCTGAAATTCAAAGCTAGGAAACTTGGGAAACGAACTAGACAGTACTATGGAAAACATCTTTATAATATTGGAAAAATCTATATTGCTTTCACAACTGCATGCTGCTCTGATCTCTCCATCTTGAGACACATTCAGATGTATAGCAAACATAATCACAGAGTACAGCAGCTGCTCTGTCAGGAGATACTATATAGACAAGAACTCTTCTGCCTAGAAAAAAGACTGTTAAACGCCCTAACAGAAGCCTATAAAATCATGATAGCAATGAGAAGGTGAATATGGAGTGATTATTTCTGGTTTTTCCTGCTAGAAGAACAGTATCAGGTGACCAATGCAGTACGAAGAAAGGCTTGTCATGTTCTAGTTCCCTCTTGCTACCAACTGCTATCAGACGATAACAGAGAGGAGGAACCTAACATAAACAACTACACAAGCCAATCTTACCCTAACTTTTCTAGCTTTTGGAGCTCATTAGTAAACTAAACTCAACAAGCATAGCTTTTTAAGACTGGTTTAATAGCTCAGATTTAATAAATAGATAAACACAGAAATGTGTGTCCTAACAAGGCATATAAGAGCAGGAAGACCTATACAATCCCTTGAGCGTACTGCAGCTCTAACAAAGACATACAAACAATTCAGTTCTTATTAAACATGCCAGAGCACATGATCCTTCAGTTTTCATTTTGTTTTCAATTTTGCATGTAATTCAATAAAACAGATGATGAGTGCCATCTTGCTCTAGTAATAGTTTTTCATTATGACTAATTGCATCCTACAAAGCAGCCCTTTTATTCACCTCTAAAAAGCCAAGGTTTATAACAGAAGTCACTTGCTTAAGAAAAATAAATCCCTCAGTTGTTTTATTAAAAATTTGTCAGACATGGAAAAAATTATAAGCATCCAATATTATTTTATCACCAGTTATGCCGTCTGTTCGCTGTCATTCTGCCTCTTAGGCAAGAAAGCTAGAAGAAATAACTTGTTTGTGCTAAAACTCCCCATGTTAGGAGACAGTTTGTACAGACAACTTGGCGCCTCTGTAGAATCCTATTTACCCAAATCCTCTCACACAGCACTCGTGCATGGTTTTGGGGCAATAGAGACACATTTTATATGTCCCTCAGAGGGGCACAACATGACTTTGGCCATTCTGTGTTTCCACAGAATTTTATTGAAACGATCATGACTTGCCTACTCCATTTTTAAACCATTTTTTTAAAATGTGTTTTAAGATGAAGCTCTTGAACAGTATCTGTTTAATATCTTCCTTGCTTCAGATAATAGCTTTAGTAGGAACTTGAGGCATGCAAAGAACGCAGTATACAACCCTCACTTGGTCTGCTCACTCAGCTTGTTTTAACTAGCTAAAGAAATACAGTAAGAGAGTTTTCTTGAGACTAAAATGACTAGTTCCTATGAAACCCTTCCAACTGTGCAAAAAATGGAGAAATTTTCAAAGTTTTCAATGGAAAACTGAAACATGAGCAGTTTTGAGTTATTTTTAGTTCATTATTAACATTTAAATTTTTGCTTAACAATTAAGGGGACATTAACTTTATATTTTTATTGTAAAAAATGATAAGTTACCACCAAAATATTTTTCCATAATATTTATCAAGAAAAAAAACTTATTTTCCTTTTTTTTTTTCCTTAAAACCTGACAAAAAGGCTGGCTACTTTTACTTGGGAGAACATACGTGGTTTGCAAGGAGAAAAAAACATAAATTGCCCAGCATATACTTCTTTAGTAGCTTAAGCTGGTACTATTCAAAAGACAGAATGTCCGAAGTTGGTGACAGAACAGAAAAATTCATTATTCCAAAAATACTGGAATGTCAGAAGATACAGTCCTGCATGGGATAGTGCCAGATTGTTAAATCTGTAAAATTTGATTCTCATAAAAATAGAGGGATGGGTAGGGTATATGGAATATCTGCCTGAATCTTCCTAAATTTTGCCACATTTTCTTGAATGCTTTCAGAGACCCAAATCATATCTCTTTGAGCACAAGAACAGTTGTAGCATTTAAAGGCCAATGTGAGCCAGAGTAGCTGTCATTAGAAGAATATCACCCCAAGAGGCAAAGTAGCCCATGAACAAAAGGATATATGCATACAAATCTATACTTGCATGCATGCAACTGAGCACGAGTGTGTGCAGTGTATATATTATTTGTAATTATTTAATTATGTATAATACGTATATAAGTTTAATAAAACAAATCTATATATATTGCCTATATAGCTACAGACTTTGTATGCTGATTTGCACATGTTCATGCTATTTGCAACCTGTTGGGCTTATTTTCTTCCACGTTAG